AGTGGATTGTAATCATTCCTAAGGGAATATAAGTGGCAGCCATGTTGGATGATGTACACTATAGGTGGTTTGTAATCATTCCTAAGGGAATCAAAGAGGCAGCCATATGTTGGATGATGTTCACTATAGGTGGTTTGTAAYCATTCCTAAGAGAATAAAAGAGGCAGCCATATGTTGGATGATGTTCACTATAGGTGGTTTGTAATCATTCCTAAGGGAACGAAAGTTGCARCCATGTTGGATGATGCTCACTATAGGTGGTTTGTAATCATTCCTAAGGGAATATAAGTGGCAGCCATATGTTGGATGATGTTCACTATAGGTGGTTTGTAATCATTCCTAAGGAAATAAAAGTGGCAGCCATGTTGGACGATGTTCACTCTAGGTGTTTTGTAATCATTCCTAAGGGAATAAAAGTGGTAGCCATGTTGGATGGTGTTCACTATAGGTGGTTTGTAATCATTCCTAAGAGAATAAAAGTGGTAGCCATGTTGTATGGTGTTAACTATAGGTGGTTTGTAATATGGAATCAAAGTAGCAGCCATGTTATAAGGTGTTTTTTAATCTCGATGATTTGCAATATTTTTTTCATCAACAAGAAAAGTGATCATAATTTTTTGTAATATTATTCACATATTTTTTAAATTAAATAAACCATATTAATAGATCAGTGTTTTTTTTGGCGCCAATTGTGTCACCAGTTAACCATATGTGTTCAAGGTGTTGACCCTTCGTGGCCAGGGTAAATTCCCTGGCGCCAAACAGTTATTAATTGATAGAAAATATTGTCGCTTCTCTTATTTATTATTGACATATTTACTACAATATAATTAATCAAAACTGTCGAATTCCAGGTTTGGGGTCGATGTGATCAAATTAGCAGTTTCTAGCTTCGTTTAAGCATTTGACAGCGATATTAAGGATTTGGATTAAGACTTATTGCTACTGTTTGAGTCCTGTAACAAAAACGCCAGTATTGGAAGGAAATCTTGTCCTTTTGAGAGACTTTTTGTAAGACCGGGGGGTTTAGCTGTCAATATTTTAGAGCCTGAGCTTAATGGTTTCTAAACAACCCACTTTATTTTTGTCAAAAATTCCAAACATGTTTTTAAAGACCCTATATAACTCGCATTAACTGTGCAATATCTATATAACAATCTTTCTCCCCTCC